CTATGAGCAAAATGAGTTGCAACAACAAATATTTTACGATAAACGCAAAGGCCAGTTCATAGTTCGACTTTGTAAATGTTAGCCGTGATAAATACACTTGAATAGGGTAAAATATGTTCATATTAAATGCTCACTTAATAGAGCGACACGTGGAGCCGGAGATAGATGAAGAGCAAGACAAGTGGAAACCTAGTCCAGGGGCAGCAATCTCGGTTGTCTCCGAAGGGAATGATGCTCATAAAGACAAATAAATGCCTATCACCCGGTAGCATTCAATGGAGAATATTCTGCAATATTAAATACGTAGTCCGTTATAGAGAACATGGCATTCATAGCCCGCCATTCTTCAATGGCCCCCCATAATTGTCATTTAAGAGAGGTTTGATCTTAGGACCTTATTCCCTAGGTGCAACTATAAATAGTGAGTTCAACAACCATTATAGGAGACGAATTTTCTGACAAGTTTATGCTATATACTGTTCAAAGCTCAATAACATTTTATTTATTAATATCGTTATTACTGCCTTAGGAAGCTCTGCTCCCGGAACCAAACTCTCTGCTGTCTTATCTCGATTTCAACCCCGAGTCTTGCATTCTTTTTTAATTTATTTATCATTTTGAGATCAAATCGATTCGCTTGTCTATAAATCACGTATAAATTCAGTTGTATCGTTTTACGGGTAAACAGTTTGGCGCCCACTGTGGGGCTTAGACAATTGCGTAATTGAGTTGGTCCTTGCATCTATTACAAACCTATTTTGGTTCTTTGTTTCTTAGCAAAAAATCATAAAAATGGCAGATAACGATGTCAACGTCGCACATAATGTTGAGGCCCAATGAAATCAGCCTCAACACGAAGAGTCGATCAGTGATACCCGCAATGAAGGGGATGAGGCCACGCCGGTCCATGGAGGGCAATATCCACGATATGTTCGAGAGGCAACTCCTGATGATGCTGAAGGCGAGCACGTAGTGGAAACAGTAAGAATCCTGAGGGAGGAACAAAAGGCTATTATGGGCCACCTCTCAGGACAAGATCAAGCAATGACGGAGTTGAGGCAGGCGTTGTCGGGTGCTTCCAACAATGCGAATGGATGAGGTCTCGTTCCTCCTGGTGCTCCTGCAAACCAAACAATACAGAGGGTTGATAACAATACCCCGAGAGGTGAGGTCGGCTTCGACAGGGCCGAGGGGAACGGTAGCGCATCCGATAACAACAATAGTCACGATCATCTTCAGGACTGACTAAAACTCTCTTGCTTCTCGTGACAAGAGAAAAGACACCTTCGCGAGCTTCAGGGAATACATATGAAGTATGTGCTGAAAAGTGAGAGGGGCTAAAACCAAGTTTGATAAATAACGAACGCAAGCTACTACCCTCTATATTATCGGGCCTATTTGACCAAGACATACATCGAAGTAACGACAAAACTCAATGACCACTTTGTCAATAGGTGGCTTGAATGCTAAGGTGAAAGAATAAGTTTAAGGAAACGAATAACCTTCACGATAAGAGGTTATTCATATCAGTACTAGGAACTACAACAGAAAAATTAGATTTCCAGTGGCATTCACGGTGAACTAGAGGAAGAAGGCCAGCGATGATTAAAGTAGGATAACGAGTGGCGGGATTAAGTGTTGCAATAGAAGAAACATGTTTTCTCATTGCTTCACAGTCTGATTGAAAAGAGAAATCTTGAGGAACAATTTTAGAAATAGCAGGCTTATGTATCGATTTGTTATGGTCTTACTCCTAGAGGAAGATCTAGGGGCCGATCGACTTCTAGCTTCGGAAGAAGAAGGCTCTGAAATATTCTTCTGGGAAGGAGTAGAGCTACGACTTGATAAAGAACCTAGGCTACGGAGCCTACCACCTATCCTAATCCTAACTAGGGCAGAAGAAGGGGGAAGCTCATCAACAATGATTGTTTTACGAGGCTCAGATGATGAAGAAGGGTACGAAGAATGAGAAGTCATTTTTAATGGTGAAAGCACGAAGAAAGGGGAAAAGTTGCAGAAGAAGTTTGAGTATGAATGCAAGAAAGAAGAAGAATTTTTTGGGTGGTATGTAATGTTGTATTTATAAGGAAGGACCGTCATTATGAACCGTCATCATGGAACCATCACTTTGAACTGACGCAGTCGCAGAAAACCCTAAAAAGATACTATAAACTGCGAAGCCAATCATAATAGGACACGTGTCCCGAGCATTAAATGGAAAGGATGTACGTCTCTTGGCTTCTGAAGAAAGCTTAATAATGTTGGGAAGAGGTGGCAAGATATTACCGCCATAATTAAACTTGCCACTTCCCAAATATTCAGTCGAGAATATTTAGAAAGTGGGAGGGCAATCTGTATTGGTAAAAAAATAAGCGTGACACGTGGACTAATGATATGATGACAAGTGACATTTGTAGCAAGTTAACAAAGAAGAATAATGAAGCACGGTTAAAATACCCACGGGATTTACTGAAGAAGGTATCGTACCTAACAACTGGAAGAGAAGAAATAGACACGAGATGCATGAATGACATAAATAAGGAAGATTTATGAACAATTATGAATATGGAAAGAGAATCGGCATTATCCCTGATTATGCGTGATCACCTATTATTACTATAATCGTCATGAGTAATTTCAGTAACGGATAATAAATGCAGAGAATGTCAGTAACGGGTAGGAATTAAGTAAGAGGGAACTGTTACATCTTTTATATCTTTATATAAGAGTCCTTACCTTATTTTGTACTATCATCAGAAGACCTTATTTTGTACCATCATTAGAAGACTCACAAATATATGCAATCCATCTTTTACTTTATCCCTATTTGATTGAAGATTCTTGTCCACAATTCTTGGGAGAAAACGATGTTCTTCAATAGGATTTCTTTCCCTCGTTTACTGAATATAGAATTTCAATTGCTTTTTACTCTCTTATTTTATTTTCTTATTTTTGAAAAAGTGAAGTAAACTTGGTTTCAGAAATATAATTTTCTTTAATATTGACTTTGACCACAAAAACTATTTTTTGGTTAAACAAATGTATATAATAAAGAGATAAATGTGAAATAGTGGAAAAAAGGCAAAAAAAAAAAGTAAGGCAAAATGCTAGATAGCAATCTTGACTAATGAAAGGTTCCACATCACTTCTTCTTGTCCCTCCTTGATATAAATATATAGATTTGTTTTGAGAGTTTTGAAGGAGGTCACCAATATACCTATCTAATCTTAACTATATTCATTTGCACGATTCTAATGATATGACTTTGATTGGACTTGGAATGGTGGCAAGATGAAGAATGAAATTAGAGGATGATTTAGTATGTGCATTCTAATGGTATCATTGGGGGTAGGGGTGGTAAATGGGCTAGTTTATTCTTTAGTCACGTGGCTTAACCTGATGCTAGATATTGTGATTGGAGATTAATTAGTAACTATTCATTTTTTATCTATGAATAAGGATATATATGCACCACTGTTGTAACAACGTTGGTATATGTGACCCCAACCATTAATGAAAGATAAAGTTAGACATTTCATCTATGTACAAAGGCAAATTTGGATCTTTTTCCAAATAAAATTGATAAATGTTTTCTTCACCTTATGATAAGTTATGTTATTTTGTATTTTGATGATTTGCCAAACAGACTCGAGGAACCAGTTGTGATCAATTCCTTTGGGATAGTTTCTCAGGGGAATATGGTTGATTCGTAAGAGGAACAATGTGGAGATTTGGTTCTCAGGGAATTCTAAGTTTGTCATCATCAAAAAGGGGGGAAATTGATAAGTTATGCGTCTTTTGTTTTGATAATTTGACAAACTTCATGAGAGAACCAGATAAGGAGCCTGATACAATTAGTTCCCTTGTGTTTAGAGTAACTAGTCAGATATTTGGTTCTATTCAATGAAATCAGATAAGGGAACAACAGAGGGAACATATAGGGATCAGTTCCTCCAGTCACAGTACAAGTCAACTAGATAAGGAACCTGATACAATTAGTTCCCTTGTATTGAGAGTGACTAATCAGATGTCTGGTTCAATTCTCAATGAAATCAGATAAGAGAACTTTAGAGGGAACAAATAGAAATCAGTTCTTATGGTCGTCGTGCAGTCAAATCTACAACTGTAAAAGGTGTTGCACTGTATCATCTGGCACCAGTACAACAACACAGTTGTAGCTTGCTAAGGCCAAACTAAAGGACACTTTATTGCATCATCTTTGATGACCTAACACACACATATTATCAATATGAGGCAGAAGATTTCATTTCCGCAACACTTGCAAATCCAAAAATCATATTCTCTCAAGTGCTAGCCACCACCTCTGTCAAGAACAAAGTTGTTGCAACCTCAAGGACCAGATCCAAAGATTGAAGATATCTTAAGTACTTTGGTTTGTTGAGTCTTTGTTATTTTGTTCTTCATTTGTAATCCTACACTTCTTTCAAGATGTGTCTATGTAGGACATATTTAAACCACTGTTTGATTTAGTTTCTTGACTAGAGTTAGTCAAGGTTTGTTGCTTTGTAATAGAGTTACTGCAAAGGGCTAATAATAGAGTTATTGTAAAGGGTGAGAGATTAAGAGTTTAATTCCTAGGTTGCAATAGGTTGTAATTTGAAGTTTGCTCGGTTTAGTGGAGTTGAAATCCTACTAGGGTAGGTCGTGATTTTAATCGCTTGAACAAGGTGTTTTCCACGTAAATATCGCGTGATCTTTATTTACAGATAATTTACTGTGGGAATAGATAGAGAACCGGGTTCCTATACTATTTGGTTTTACAGTCTGTTGCTTAACGTGGGAAATAATAGAGAACCTGGTTTTCTTTACAATTTGGTGGGCTTTTAGTTTCTATCAATTAGTATCGGAACAGATTCTTTTTAAAAGGTTAACACCTAGAAAAGATCTACATAGTTGCTTCACCAAACTTTGAGGAAGGACAATTAACGTACAAACCACTAAGATTCAATGGCCAATACTATGGTTGGTAGAAAATAAAAATGCATGACTTCATCATGGCTGATGACACAGAGTTGTGGGATGTAATCTATGGTGGACCTTTTGTTCCCATGAAAACTGTTAGTGAGGGAACAGTTACAATCCCAAAAAAAAAAAGAAATGAGTACAACGATGCTGATAGAAAGGCTATTGAGAAGAATTTCAGAGAAAAAAAGATTCTTGTTTGTGGAATCGGACTAGATGAATACAACTGCATCTCAGTTTGTCAGTCTGCTAAGGAGATCTGGAAAGTTCTTTAAACTGCCCATGAGGGAACTACTCAAGTTAGCAGTCCAAAATTGATATACTTACTACTGAGTATGAGCTTTTCAAGATGAAGGAGGATGAGTCTATCCAAGATATGCACACACGTTTCACCTCCATTATCAATGAGCTTCACTCCCTTAAAGAAGTCATCCCAAGAAATAAGTTGGTCCGAAAAATACTTAGTGTTTTACCAAGTTCCTAGGAAAGTAAAGTGAATGTTATCACTGAAGCCAAGGATATGTAGAAGATGACCATTGATGAACTCATTGGGAATCTCAAAACCTATGAGATGAAGAGAAAGAAAGATCTTGAAAGAAGAGAGCCCAAGAAGGAGAATAACCTAGTTCTCAAAGCTGCCTACATCCACTCAAGTAGTGATGAATCTGACATGACTTATCTCACTCGAAGATTTCAAAAGACGATTCGTAGAAATAGTGGGATCCCAAAGAAAAGAAGTTCCAGCAGGAACTTCAAATAAAATGATTGATGTCATAAGTGTGGAAAGCCTAGACACTTCATTAAATACTGTCCTCTTCATAAGTAGGATCATTACAAAACTAACACTGAAAAGGCGGTTAAGAGGAACCAGGTCCCTGACAGAAAGTTCAAAAGAATAGATGTTGCTGATAACATGGTGAAGCAAGCCCTGGCTGCCTGGGGAGATTCCTCCAATGAATCTGAAGGTGAAGATGACTAAGGAGATACATCTGTGATGGTTGTTGACAATAGATCTTCATAATATGAGTCAATCTTTGCACTCATGGCCAAATCTGATGATGATGAGGACAAGGAGGAAGATAAGGTATATTTTCTTGATTTTTAAAGAAATTTGAAAACTTACTCTAAGAAAAAATTGATGTCCTTAGCAAATGTGTTGATTGATGCCTATCATGTCCTCATTAATGAGAAAAATGCTTTAATTAAAGAAATTGGTGACATAGAACAAGAGATGGATGACATGGTAGTTTCCATTGTAGACTTGAAGGAACAAGTGGAAGAAGTAACTAGAGAAAATACCTTGTTGAAAAACCAAACAAAAAAATGGATGGGCATCCCTAAGGGTAAAGAAGTGGCTAATGAGGCTCAACTTGAGCTTGAGAGTGAGCTTAAGAAAGTTAAAACAAGTCTTGTTGTTGAGCTTGAAAAGAATAGACAACTTCAGGAGGATCTAAAAAGGGTTAAAAATGATCTTGATAAGTCACTTAAATGGACCCGTGTCAAGCCCCGAAATTAAGGAGCGCGACCGGCACTCAACCGAGTAAACCCAGTCGAGAAAGCCTAGTTTGCATTAACCTCTCATCATTACTCATGCATGATTTACCATAACATAATAAGATTTTGACTTTCATATTAAATACATTTGGCTCAATGGCCCATATTTTCTTTCTCGTAGTGGTTACACAACTCTATAAATAGTTGTTAATACTGTGAACATAAATACATGACAACACTCAAATCTTTAATTACATAACCCACAGTGTACATGGATCTTCATGACAATAGATACCTATATACATAAAATTAACTAGACCCAAACACCCACTAGAATTGTAGTGGGCTCACCATAAGCTGAGTAGTGAAGAAGATCCCTATCAAAGGTCCATATCATCCTGTAGAAGTATACCTACATCCATTAAAAGATGCAGCGCCCCCGGCAAAAGGGACGTGAGTACATGTGGAATAGTACTCGTATGTAAGGCAATCAAAACAACATATGAAAATATGATAACTCAAATAAGAGGCAAATAAAATACATCAAGAAACTACGAAACATTCCATAGAATCACATTTCAAATCTTATTATACTTGCATCATTCTAAACTTCTTTTAGGATGAACTGATCCATATGAACTATACGTGGAATACATAATATAATGTAATTGTAACAACATGTACAAACAAGTCCAATGAAAGTGGCACCTTCCTCCCTTATTTTACACATATACATTTCATAGATTGTCCTTAGTGCTCACATATCATATTATACACATATGCATCCCATAGACCGTTCACAACGTTCACTTACACAATACAAATACGCCTATTCAAGGGATTGAAAATACAACATGGATATGATGAATCATGATAACAATAAATGGGCTAAGATAGCCGTTAACGTCAAGCAAATTTATTAAGGGCCTCTAGTCAAATTTATAGATATTAAGTCGGGGATCCTTTATAACCACCCTCACACAAAGCGGCCCTTCCGCCTCACCCCAACATATACGGGTGGAGGTGTATTCCACAATACCAGAATCCCTACACAAAGCAGTTCTACCGCCTCACCCCAATATACATAGGTGAAGGTGTATCACAATACCACAATCCTTACACAAAGCGCTCCTACGGCCTCACCCCAATATATGCGGGTGGAGGTGTATCACAATACCATAATCCCTACACAAAGCGGTCCTGCCGCCTCACCCCAATATATGCGGGTGGAGGTGTATCACAATACCACAATCCCTACACAAAGTGCTCCTACCGCCTCACCCCAATATATGCGGGTGAAGGTGTATCACAATACCATAATCCCTACACAAAGCGGTCCTACCGCCACACCCCAATATATGCGGGTGGAGGTATATCACAATACCACAATCCCTACACAAAGCGGTCCTACCACCTCACCCCAATATATGCGGGTGGAGGTGTATACCACAATACCAAAACTCAAGATAAAGCGGCCTTGCCACCTCACCCCAATGTATTCGGGTGGAGGTGTATCACAATACCATAATCCCTACACAAAGCGGTCCTACCGCCTCACCCTAATATATGCGGGTGGAGGTGTATCCCACAATATCAAAACTCAACACAAAGCGGCATTGCCTCCTCACCCCAATATATGCGGGTGGAGGTGTATCCCACAATATCAAAACTCAACACAAAGCGGCATTGCCTCCTCATCCCAATATATACGGGTAAAGGTGTATCACAACACCACAATCCCTGCACAAAGTGGTCCTACCGCCTCATCCCAATATATGCGGGTAGAGGTGTATCACAATACCGCAATCCCTACACAAAGCGTTCCTACCTCCTCACCCCAATATATGCGGGTGGAGGTGTATCCCACAATAGAAAACTTCAACACAAAGCGGCCTTGTCGCCTCACCCCAATGTAGGCAGGTATAGGTGTATTCCACAATAATAAAACTCTACACAAAGCGGCCTTGCCGCCTCACCCCAATGTATGCGGGTGGAGGTGTATCACAATATCACAATATTTACACAAAGTGGCCTTGCCACCTCACCCCAATATATGCGGGTAGAGGTGTAATCCCAATCACAATACCATATATAAACTCAAAGCGACATAGTTTGTCATTACATTTAAGGTCGTAATTACTCATATCATTGGAATACTTCATGTTCATGATCATCATGGAGAAACATAACTCATTACATTAGCACATGCATGGTAAATCAATAAGTCGATTTCAATGGTACATGGGCCCAATTCCTTTTCTTATGGTTCATCATCATTTAACAAAGGACATCTCCCTTCTATCTCATTATTCACTCCCTTGACCTCTTGAGGTCATTATCTAGGTTCATGACTCTTGGAGACTTAATAATCGAAGTCATTTATATACATTATTTCAAAAGCATTCAACTATAGTTGAAACCATTGGGACATACAACACTTCATAATTCTCATTTAGGCAACGACCACATTTCGTGTTTATACTATCACTTACTTGTACTTTCCAGGGGTGATCATAGAACATTAAGAGCATTTAGAATATTTAGGAACATCACAGTCTTTACTCGCAAAAACATAGGGGCTTATAACACATTGGAAACCAAAGTACAAATACGTACATCTCATAACCTTTCACACCATATATCACTTAATCCGTACTTTCAACCACTTACATTATTATTATTTTATTGGCTCTCTTGGCCATACATATGATTCTTCTTTAATGGCATAATGGCTGTATTTCATATTCCACACTTTCATATCTTTCCTTTCATGGATCATCGTCATAAATATCAATATATACAATATTCTGAAAATCACAACTTTAGGTTTATTAGTAATGAAGACTTTAAACACAATGGATTTCTTTTCAAGAAATGGAGTAAAATGATTGGCAATCAAAGCACAAGTTAAAATCATAAACAAGTAACATATCATTTATTCTTGAAATACTTTTTTCCAAAAAGGACAATACACAATTTTCACTCACGAATATGTAAGAATGCAAAACACATTGAAAATACTCACTAAACATAGCATTAGCTAAAACAGTCACATATGGACATCACTTGAGTTCATAAGCTTTTAGGCAATTCTATTTTCAAAGTCAATTTTAGAATAGTTGAATCAAAGCTCATTTCATAATCTTTCTCACATCATCTCATTTCATTGGCACCATTGGCCACAAGTATAACTTTTACTCTTGGCATGTTGGCCACATTTTATATCCCCAATTCACTTATTTCACTTCCAACCATCTTTATAGGTTATCAACAATAAGACATTTTTAATCAAGACTTTAGGTACACATATGAGCAATTAAGAGTCTTAAGCATATTGAGTTTTCTCACACAATTTGACATCATAACCTTTATTTGGAACACTACTCAAAGACATAGCATTTTAATACACATATCATTCTTTAACACATTCCCAAAAGATAACATAATGTGATAGGAACATTCGGAATACATTTTGAATACATAATTCTTGACACTTTATTTATTCGGGACATTCGAATTTATTGGGAATAACCCGGAACATAGAATAAGGAACTTGAGACATCCATACTTAAATCTTACAGGAACATCACTGAATTCAATTCTAAGAAGGAAGTTTAGCCAATATACCTTGCTTTGAGCTTTCCTTAAATTATTACAACATTCCAGAAATTCTAGCAATTCCAATCTATTTTGAAACATAACAAAATTGAACACAAATTAGGAAGGTATTCATGGTTTCAGCTCATTTGAGCATTTGATCAAACACTAGGTGTGCAAATTTGGCCACAAGGTTCTTCTACAAGATTTCCTTCATTCTACAACCCAATCTTTACTTATTTGAGCTCAACAATCTTTCCATAAAACTTATTAGTACATACATGTATAAATAATACTCTCATACCCAAGAATCATACTCCTAATCAACCATCTTCTACCCAAATCCGAAATTGAAAACTAGGGTATGAAACCTTACCTCTTAGATGAAGAACTTGTGAGATTTCCTTGTTGGATTTCAAAGCTTGGACAAGATCTTGATGAACAAAATACTTCATCTACTTCCTCTCTCTATAACACTCTCACTTCTCTCTAAAAAACCTCAGATAATTTCCCCAAAATAAACCCCAAAGCCTATATATCAAAATGAGATTGGGTTATGAAAATAGAAAAATTAACCCTCCGAAAGCAGGTCTGCAGTCACATAATGGACCGCAGAATAGCTATGCGGGTTGCAAAATGTACTGTAACATTAGTGCCAAAAAATGGGTTGTACTGGTCCATTCTGCGACCAGTTTGCGGTCGCAGAAGCACTTTCACGATCGCAGAATTGGTCGCAGAATCTCATTTTTCCAGCCTTTGGTAATTTGGTCATAACTTCTTGTAGGAGTGTTTAAATGATGAACGGTTTGAAGAGTTGAAAACTAGACTCTAAGAAATTTACTTTTATAGGTAGATCATCTCCTAAGTAGTTATAGTTTGGTAGCATCATGCGTTTGAAATAGAATCTTGTGCGAACTCACTTGAAACTTTATCCCTTCATAAAATTTTCAACTTGACTTAGCCTTGGGGCTCTTCTTAGACCATAAACCATTCTTAATGTACATCATACATATATTATCATGATCAATTGATATCGTTCATATAATAGTCCTTGTCTACACATAAAATAATATAATTAGCGCACATCAACTTTCTTAATAACGTTGAAGTACTTCAAAATTTTCCAGGGTGTCACAACCAGGTATCTCCAAAAGGCACAGAAGAACCTGGTCCCTCTATCACCTCAACTGAATCTGAACATAGGGTTGCTGATATTGCACCAGGTACTCCTGATGCAGGACAAAAAAGTGGAAGTTATAATTCTGTTGATGTCAATGATGTTTCAAATATGGAGGAACCTGGTCCTTCAAATTCTGGAGTTTAAGTACTTCAAGGAGTTGTTGAAAGGATTTGAGATGGAGAATGCTAGGACCATTGATACGCCTATTGCCACTACTACTCATTTAAACATCGTCGAACCTGGATCTCCTATCAATGAAACTATGTATAGGGGTATCATTGGATTTCTTTTGTACTTGACTGTTATCAAATCTGATATTGTTTTTAGTGTTAGGTTGTGTTCTAGGTTCCAATCAAGCCCAAATAATCTCACTTGAAGGCATCCAAAAGAATTTTGAGATATCCTAAGGGAACGTAGGACCTGGTCCTCTTTTATCCTTCACTAGATAATTTTGACTTGGTTGGATATGCTGATGTTGATCATGTTGGATATCTGGTGGATCGAAAGAGAACATCTAGAATGGCACATTTTCTGGGGTCATGCTTGATCTCTTAGGGTACAAAGAAATAAAACCTTGTGACTCTTTCTTCTATTGAAGCTGAATATGTGGATGTTGCCTCTTGTTGTGCTCAACTGCTATAGATCAAGCAACAACTAGAAGATTTGGTGTGTTTACATATTGTGTTCCATTGTTGTGTGAGAACACAAGTGTTCTAAACATGGAAAAGAACCTGGTACATCACAAGGGGACAAAGCACATTGATATACGATATTACTTTTTGAGGGACAATGTTTAAAAAAGGCTTATTTGTATGAAGGCTTGCAAGACAGAGGATCAGGTAGCAGATTTGTTCACCAGAGAACTGAGGAGAGAACACTTTGAAAGAGATCGTATGGAGTTGGGGTTGATCAAGCTCAACTAAGGACCTAGTCCCTCGATAATTTGCTATGTAAAGAAGGAAAGGTACAATGCTAAAAAGTATTTTTCTCGTGGCATCTAACTCAATTATATACCGTTACAGGAATACACATATGGCCGTTTCAGGAGAAAACAAGTATGAGTGACATTTCACTTCTAGGAGTTTTTGCTCAAATTTTCAAAAACCGTCAAGGAACCCTGGTCCCTGTGACTCAGGTTAGTAGTCTTTTCAATACTTATATGCCTTTTTAAACTATTGAAGTGTCATGTAATTAATTTATTCCCGTCTCTCTCCTAATTTTTGAAGTCCAAAATGTTAAACATTTCTGAACTGACCCGTTGCCCCAAAAAACCATTTCCTTCTCTCACACCCAACCAAAACCGATTCTTTTCTTCAAAATCAAAATCAACCTTGTCTTAAAAAGAATCCTTCTCTCCAAATATGCCAGAAGTGAACCCAACTCTGTCACCTTCCAAAATTCTAATTCCATCTAAATCAAAACCCCAAGAAGTCTTTGGTAGATTTTGATGGGACTTTAACATAAAGGGAGGTAGATCTAATATTCTAGAGAGTGAGGCTGAAATTGTTATTGGGCTTATAAAAGCCTTGAAGGATGGAGGAATTAGTGAATATGCTGGAAAAGGGGGAACTGAATGAGTGACTTGGTCCCTCAAATCCTTCTTAGGATGTTAATTCTGATGATGATCTTTTTCTCTTGAGTTCTGTGCTTAAACGAACCTCTGATCCAGCAAAAATGATTGATGAAACATAGGCTGATTGATGATGAAGTGGCGTGACCTGCTGATGTGGTGATTGTGGAAGAGAGAATGAAGTAGAAAAATCTTCACTTGTGAGAAAGAATTCAAAAAAAAAAGCAAAATGGAGAAAAGAAAGTTGGCTGAGAAAGATGAAGCAGATGATAAGGATGAACAGATTGAGAAGAAAAAGAGGGAGACCTGACCGCTCAGAAAAAGAAAGGGTAGTGTGAGTGAGGAGCCTGGTTTCTTACAGAAGCAAAAGGTTGAGTTATCGAGTTTGGAGAGGAAGAAGACTCTGAAGTCTCAAAAAGTGCTGGTAGGCTGAGTTTTTTACTCTGATATTGCTGAAAAATGAAGGAACTTCTTGACATTGTTGAGTTCCAAAACAAAAAATAAAATAGAATCACCTCTTTGTTCCTCCAAGTCCCAACGTTTATGAAGAAGAAGTAAACACTTCTATGTTGTATGTGATACTCTGATGCTATATGTGCATCAGACTGAGTTTGTTCTTGATGAGGAGAAGTTTGGGGAGATTCTTAGTGATATGATTGATGGTTCAGCCTGCACAGATAGGTAGAGAACCAGGTCCCAGACGTCCCTTGGCAGAAGAGAATGCTCAATTGAAGGCTGAGAATGAAAGATTGAGAAAACAGGTGGAGGACCTGAGAGAGCAGATGATCATTGACCAGAGGACTGTGAATGAACGAATGGACAAGCCAATCAATGTCTTAGCCACTTAATTTTCTTCCTGCCCAATGACCCGTGTCTTTCACCTCTTCCAAATTCCCTCAAATTTCTATCTCCTTCTAATCCCTATATTTGATGACATTGGTACTTTAGTGATTTAAATTATCATATTTTGTATTGATTGAAATTGCTATATTTTAGTTATAATTACTCTACTATGGGCTGTCACTCTATTTTGTGCAATGATATTCACTTGTTGTTCTTGTTTTTGCTTATGCTATGTTGCCCAAGTGGCATGAGTTAATGTTATTAAACTTTTTTTTGCTTGTGCTTCTTCTATTAATTTTTTCAATAATTCCAAAAGAGGGAACTTCAAGGGGGACATAATTGATGGTTGTCAAAGGATCTATTGGTCTATTTTGCAGGGGGAATATTGCATTGTTGTTCTCATGTTGATTATCGGTATGATCCGTAAGAGAAATATATAAGGAATCTGGTTCTCAGGGGGAATATCAATTCTGGGTTTGTCATCATCAACAAGGAAAAAATTGATAAGTTATGTTATTTTGTGTTTGGATGATTTGCCAAACAGTCTCGAGAAACCAGTTGTAATCAATTCCTTTGGGATAGTTTCTCGGGGGGAATATGGTTGATTCGTAAGGGGAATAATGTGGAGATCTGCTTCGTAGGGGAAATATTAATTCTAAGTTTGTCATCATCAAAAAGGGGCAAATTGATAAGTTATGCGTCTTCTGTTTTGATGATTTGACAAACTTCATGAGAGAACCAGATAAGGAACCTGATATAATTAGTTCCCTTGCGTTCAGAGTAACTAGTCAGATGTCTGATTCTATTCTCAATGAAATCAAATAAGGAAACAACAGAGGGGGCATATAGGGATCAGTTCCTCCGGTCACAGTACAAGTCAACTAGATAAGGAACCTGATACAATTAGTTCCCTTGCGTTTAGAGTGACTAGTCAAATGTTTGGTTCAATTCTCAATGAAATTAGATAAAAGTATAGCAAAGGGAATAGAGAGGGATCAGTTCCTCTGGTCGTCGTACAGTCAAATCTACAATTGTAAAAGTTGTTGCACTGTATCGTCTGGCACCAGTACAACAACACAGTTGTAGCTTGCTAAGGCCAAACTAAAGGACACTTTATTGCATCATCTTTGATGACCTAACACACACATATTATCAATATGAGGCAAGAGATTTCATTTCCGCAATACTTGCAAATCCAAAAATCATATTCTCTCAAGTGCTAGCCACCACCTTTATCAAGAACAAAGCTGCTGCAACCTCTAGGACCAGATCCAAAGATTGAAGATATCTTACGTCCTTAGGTTTCTTGAGTCTTTGTTATTTTGGATAAAAAATAAAAAATTAATTAAATCGTAAAACAATCACGAAATAACATAGAATACAGTAAAAACAACTAATAGGCATTTTTTATACATGAGTTTTAACAAAAAATAAGTCGGAATACCTTGATTTAAATTTTTTAGAAAGTAAGATTCGGTGATTCGGAGCCGAAACAAGCAACCCACTACGAGATAACGCCTTAGATACGATGTGTGACTGAGAATCTACACTTCTTGTTGGACCGGTAGGCTCCACCCGAGTTTTTTTCCGTTATAAATGGAGAGGGGGACCGCTGGCTTTGGCTTGTTTTTTTTTTTTGGGGGGGGGGGGGGGGGGGGATGTTCTGTTTTGGGGAAGAAGATGGTATTTATGCAGATATAGCGCCCTTATTTACCGCGCTATAGGCGCTATACCTTCCCGTCCATTTAAGTTCAAATATAACGCGGTATTTCACGGCGCTATATCTTAACGGACAAACGGCCGTTAAGGTATAGCGCAGTGGAATTCCGTGCTATACATATTATGGTGGCCAGTTTTTTTCCATATATTTTGGTTTCTGGAGTTATACGTTGTTACTGTTTATTTCTATTCCAAACAGTGATGTATTTGATATTCTTCGTTACTCTTAGAAATTTACTGTGGGAATAAATAAAAAACCGGGTTCCCTATAATGTTTGGTTTTACAATTTGTTGCTTGCTTACTGTGGGAATTGATAGAAAACCTGATTTTCTGTAAGAGGTGGATTCTTAGTTTCTATCACCTTATTTTCGAAACAAACGGCATCTTAGGCACTGCTTGCTAATAAGGGACTATGTCATTTGCTTTGCTTAAAGTACCACAATTTTTAATGCGCAATAATTGTAGATGGGCATAATGTTAGGAGAAATTTTTAAATACGTTTATTCCCATGAAGAACAGAAAATTTAATGTTCCAACTTCCAATCATTTGAACCAAATTTTTTGTATTATGCACAAAATGTTTGCAAAGTTCTGAACAAAAAAAAAAAATTGTTAAAGAAGAACCAACTTTTCCTATCAAACAATGAAGACTCAATGAACTATAGAAAGTGAATACTCCTATTTTTGTGGACTCTTAAGCAGTAATATATTGCTGCAAATTTTTCGTTCTTTTCTTGTTCTTTAACTTGCGGAATGCACTAGACTCAATTTGCCTGATTCTCTCCCGGCTTACGCTCATTAATTCCCCAATCTCTTGCAATGTCTTCATCCTCCCATCTTCCAGTCCAAATCGCCATCGAATAACCTGCCTCTCCCTTGGATTCAGGGTATCTAAAACCTTCTGTAGGTCCTGTTTCATGAACTGCTTGATCAATGTCTCTTCTGATGTTTTGGCTTCAGGGTCTGCAATCACTTCCTGAACACCATATGTAAAAGAAACCGATATAGCTTAGCACAACAAATAAGAGTCAATTAATTCTGAAGTGGTAAGAATCAAGAATTGCAGGGTTAATTTCACGTATGGTAACTGAATACTATCCATTTTAACACTAAAGTCACAAAACTATCTTTTTCTCCCATTAAAGCATCTGAATTTTATCTACTATAACAGTTAAATTATAAAACTGTTTTTTGCCACGTTAAAGTAACTATACTTTACTCGCTATAAAAGTAAAGCCCCAAAGTTCAACCCACTATAACAGTAAAGTCACCTCACTTGATGGTAGGTTTTGTAGTTGGGGTTACCCGGCGCATAAAGCATCCCGCATTCACGCAGGGTCCGGAAAGGGCCACACCCCTAAGTAGCTTTGTAATTTTAGTGGGCGTTTGGACATAAGAATTGTAAAATTCCAAAATAGGGGAAAAAAAAATTTCAAGTGAAAATAGTATTTGAAATTTAGAGTTGTGTTTGGACATGAATGTAATTTTGGGTTGTTTTTGAAGTTTTGTGAGTGAAAATTTTGAAAAACAGCTTTTTGGAGTTTTTCAAATTTTCCAAAATTTCCAAAATGCATAAGATTGGAAATTTTATGAACAAACGCCGATTTCGAAAAAAAGTGAAATGTTTTTGAAAAAAAGAGAAATTTTTTTTATGTCCAAACGGGCTCTTAGTATATAGTGAATAAAGTTCTGTAACCACACATAAAATTAATTCAAGAATAGCTGGATTGGACACAACAATGCCAGAAAATGTGAAAAGAAAGATTTTCCAGGATCATCAAGAACGTAAAAAGAAACAAGAAATGTTTTCCAGGACCAACCGAAGGTTTGAGATTTTGGTTGAATCCAATTTTCTGGTCAAGTGATCTTGGAGCTTTAGGAGTTAGCATCACAGCAGTGAGCCTCTTCATTGACAATCCCGTTGCTTCAGCTAGTTCCTCCTCGTCAGGATGTCTACCATTTTCACTATATAATTGCTTTCTTGCTTCCTTAACTCTATAAGTTGCCTCGACCATGTGAAACTGTCATGGAAAAATTAAAGGAATGCTCAAAATTAGATAAGCCAAGGAAAGTCAACTAAGACATACATGTCTTTCTTTTTTATTTGGAGCAGGAGTGTCACACATACCGGCAACCGAATTGTCCTGGATTGATCAGAAAGCGACTTCCTAACAGCCTGTTTAATCCACCAATGAGCATATGTTGAGAACTTAAAACCTTTTGAAGCATCAAACTTTTCAGCACCCCTTACAAGGCCACGACATCCTTCCTGTAAATCAATTTCCAAATATAAGCACGTTATGTTTCTGATGGTTTTAATCCCTCGAAGAGCTACAGTCTCGTGATCATATATTTTTTTTGATTTGCACCGGGTGTCCGAGTCTCTTTGAGCCCCGACTAATCCCGGGAGTGCACAGGCCCTCGGCAAGGAGTTTCCCGCA